ATTGGTCATATTTGTCAACTAAATCAAATAATAATTTGTAGATCAATTTTGATGATCTTTTAATAATGTTAATTTTTGCAGCTAACACCAGAAAACCAGTTTCATTTTTATTTGTTATTATCCAATCTTTTCTTTTAAAAAAATCTTAGAAACAACAAACAAAATTAACATGAACTTTCTAGATTTTGCTGAAAAATATAAAAAGCTATTTTCGGAAGTCACTTCTAAAAAAGTTCGTAAAGCCTTTAAAGCGTCTCAAATTAGTGGTGAGCTGGTTTACTCATCAAAAATCCACTATACTTGTCGATAACTAATTATAACATTTTTGTTTTCTATCTTATTTTAGGTGAATTTTCTAGTACAGGGATGCGTAAATCTACAGAGTTAGATAAGCTTTTGTATTGTGTAATATGAGTTCTTGAATCCCATAACTTATGATTTTCAATTATTATTTTTCAACATCGCTTATCAGGTCAATTTGAGAATATTGTTAATATTGTAAAGAGCCAGAGAGCCAAACTATCTGAAATGCAAAGAGACCAACAAAACAATAGCATTATTAAACACAATGAAGATCTTCCAGTGATTGAAAAGAAATTACTTTATGTGAGAAAATCATATAAGTATCTTTATGAACAATTGAAAAAGAAATCAGATTGCAGTTTATATAGATTACTTATTACTGGAAAATCAGGAGTCAGAAAATCATATTTCTTAATATACGTCTTAATGCAACTTTTATGTGAGGGAGTTAGTGTCATTTTCCAGCCTCTTAATGATCCAGATTTCTGTTGTTTCAAGGATTTAACAATGACCTGTAGAACATTTAATGATTTCAGAATTACTCGATTTACCTACTACATGATACCTGGCATATAGTATAGTATCTCAAAAATAGTTCCAGAATGTCACTAGTCTCTTGATCACCAAATGGAATTTTAAAAGTGATTTTAAAGAATATAACAATTGTAAACTGAAGAAATATTATATGGGTCCTTAGACATTAGAAGAAATATTATTTTGCCAGAAGTATGTTTTTCCACTGGTGCCAGAAGAAACAGTAATTAATCTTTTCAATAAAGCTGGTGAAGTACCTAGATATGTTTTACAGTATATTGAGTTATCAATAAAAGATTTTCAAAATAATATCGAAAAAGAAGAAGGACTGGATGCTAGTAAAATGAAAATATTTGAAAATGATGCTTATTAACGTATCACCCTTTCTATTTCAGTAATTGAAGACTTTGATAATATTATAAAGTGTTTTAAAGAAGAAGAACTAAAATATGTTTAAATAAGCAATCGAATTATCCACAGATAGCCAGAAATACACATTGTAACTACCACTATAAATGAACATCTTCTTATATTTTTGATAGAATTCAAGCAAAATTTGAGGAAAAGGCATGGGATTAAAGATGGTACAGCAATTGATTTCAAATTTACAAAATGTTGCAACATAAGCTAAAATTAGTTGCAATATATGTT